ATTATATATATTAATATATATTGGTGCACAGCAAATTGTTCTGACGAATAGCCGCTCATTCGAGGTAGAAAAAAAAAAAAAAAGATTCTCTCCACCAGAAGAGAAATTTTATTTTCACGTTGGAAACCTGTTTCAGTGGTGAGGAAAGAAACCGTACGGTTTTGGCGCGCGGATATTACTTCCTCGGGAGGGTTCTGCGGGTTTCCCTCCCGATTCAGGCGCTGATGCTGCTGCTGCTCGGCGTGGCGTCGCTGGTGCCGTCCGCGGAGGAGGACTACAGTTGTACGCTTTCCAATAATCTCGCGAGAAGTTTCACGCCGCTAGCCTTTTATCCGAACGGTCCGCCGCCGGTGTAATTGTACACATGTATGTGTGTGTGTGCGTGTGTGTGTGTTTGTGTGTGGGCACGAGCGCGTATGTGTGTTTTGTAAGCAGGTCCCACACCGCGATCGGCGAAAGATCCCCGCAACACGTCGCGTGATGTACCACAGGCCGATATTCACAGTCGGATCTTGGATCTTGCGGATCGTCTCGAGTCTCCTCTCTTGTCTCAAGTGTCATCCAGACGAACTTAAACATTCTCACACAAAATGTTTATTTTTTTACAGAGTGTGTACTTATTTTAATTATTTACAGACGTTATGATGTTAAACAACCCGATCGTATCACATTTTGTATATGTTATATATGTATATGTATTTGTATAAATATACATATATATATAGTATATAGTATCATGTATGTGTATGTATACAGCACAGAATATATATGTGTATAATAATATACAAAATATTAGAAATCCTAAATACACTGAGAGATGGGAATGTGAATACCGGCGTCGTGTCGAATCGAGGCGAGGTGGAAACGTGTCACTTCTCCTGAGAAAAAAAAAAAAAGAGAAATTGCCACGCGGCAAACCACCGCTGAGTAAAGTACGAGACGTACATAATAATAATAATAATAAAAATTGCCCTTGCACTTTTGTTCCGCATATACAACAAGACATATATATATATATATATATATATATATATATATATACATATATATACATATATAAAAATAAAATGTAAAAATTTTTACTGCCCTGTGAGCTTGCCTGATAGCAAACGTCAATCGCGTCGACGCTCGCAAAAAATCCTCCTCGCAGAAATCTTTGTATACCCGTGCGTTGTGTTTTACATGTGAAACGAATTTATACGTAAGTTGTACGCGGCGACTGAGAATCGGAGTCGGTAAAAAAAAAAAAACACAAAACAAAACGAGAAAAACAAAGAAAAAAAAAGACGCGTTCTTAACTTATTGTATAATTGTATATCTCTTCACCGTATCTTGTTGCTACTTTTGGCATGATATACAGATATATATATATTGTGCTCTTCCTGCGCGAATTATACACAAGTGTTTCGCAAACACGCGTATCTTGATAAAAAAAAGAAAACAAATATATTCGTTGCGTAAGAGAACAACTGATTGTCTTCGAGATGCTCGATTTGTGTACGTACATTAAATTAATTAAAACAACGTTCCATAATGCGCGTGTGTTTGTTTGTTTGTGTGTGTGTGTATCTGTGTTTCGACAAACACACACAGAGACAGACTACATATGTCGACGAATGCTTGGCGACAGATTCTGTTGCATTTCCGCTGGAATTCTGCTGGCAGTTGTTGGAAATGCATCGCGTCTGCTGCCCCTTTTGACAACAAAATCAACCGCGAAAATTTGTTTCCGACAGATTTTGCTATTATACATTATATATATATATAAGAAGTGCAATTAGAAATTTAAAAACGACTTTGCATGACACGACTCTTCGCCGATTTTTTTGGTGAGGAATTATAAAAAATTTCTTTCGAAAACGCGCGGTGGCGAACGAGGTGGCATGCGTTGCATTCATTATATTTTTGTTCTACATTCAGTGAGAAATAAAGAATAAACTTGTCTAATATCGTTTGCTCTTTTGTATGTATAATGTTTGTCAAAATGTGTCAAGGTCACATCGGAACTAATTTATTAAATTTTTCTCCGTCTTCCCATTGATTTACAAAAATATATTTGGGGGGTCTCTATTTTAGTCACCGCCGCTGATTCGGTGGTTCTTTTATGGGAGTTACAGAAAACCGGCCGTTCATCCGCGAAGTGTTAGAAGCGACGTGATTGCGTGATTCGTGTAAGTAGAAACGAAAACAAATGTCACAGTTACGAGTTTTTGATTTATTATTGTAGAAGTTAACACAAAAAGAACCGAGTTACTTTTTCAAAGTTACAAGATTTTGTTTCGCTTATATTGCATATAATATTGCGCTCTCGGTGTAACTTCGTTTTTGATACAAATACATCGTTACAAAATTATGTACATATGTATACGCTCTCACTCTCACTCTCTCTCTCTCTCTTTCTCACAAAATTGTTGTGTTTTATGTTTTGTATCACTTATTTTAATTATTCACAAGTGTTATAAAAAAGAGCTGTACATGATCGTACATGTAATATGCGGTGTGTTATATACATAGAATAATATACAAAGTACTAAAAAAAGTAAGTTAATTTTTAAGAAATAATACACTTATACGCCATTAAGTAACTTGGTTCTTCAGTATCGTTAATTGTTCCGAATATTCGAGATACAATCTCTGCCAGCGAAGATGACCGCCGACCACGGCCAGCACGTCGCTCAAAAGTTTATGTTTTCTTATTCCCTGCGCACAAAAACAAAACTGTATTAATTGAATCGATCGAGAGAGTAAAATCGAGTCGAAACTTGGTCGATGCGCGAACAAAAGTATTACCAAGACAATGGGATCCCATATACTTTTGGACGCTGACGTGTGACTCGGACCCAAAAGATCGTCCAGAATTAACCTCAGACGTTTTTCCAAGCTTTCTGTAACAAAAAAAAAAGAGGCAAAGAGTGTTTGCGACAAGTGTGACAAAAATACACTGACCGGTTGCCACGGCGCACCTTGTGTTAGTAAAAACGACACTAAAGCCATGAGCCAGTGAACGTATTCCTGAGCGCTTCCGAGAGCTTTCGACGCGAGTAGTTGCTGTTCCAGATAAGAAACGACACTCGGCGCACTGTGCGGCAATCGCGGATTTGGCAGTGTATTCCCGGTAGTTCTGAGCAATCCCTCTTGTAGCGACGATAACGGACCTCTGGGAGCTCTATTTCCCGTGTTGCTCACCACACTGAACGAAGACCATCGCCACACGGGATCCTGGCTGTCTCCGATTAACAGCCACGTTCCTGCGCGATATTTACAAAGCACAATCGTTATCGTCGTTTACAAACGAGATGATGAAGAATTAAATTCTAACATGTGTAACGTGTGTTGGTGTATACCCATGTCTTTGTGATATATGTACGCCCGTGCGTTAGTGAACGCTACGTGAGGCATTCCATTGTACAAAGTACACGACAATAAGGATGTTCCAGGTGCCGCCAGATGAGCAACCGAAGTTGAAACGATCATTCGACATACATTTCCTATTTCCCACACACGAACCGCGCCGCAGCTCGATATTACCATTACCTATGTGTTGAATTATTTTACAAATATGTGAGTAACAAATTTAATTGAATCTAAGTAACACGAATTTGAACGTTAAAAAAAGTCAAACGTAATAAATTACCGCGTTTCCAACGGCGTGGACTTTTGCCAAAGGTGCTGGCGGCGCTAAGGGAGGTGCCGGCCGACATCCCTTCGCAGGATGGAACGTGTGAAGACTCCCGTCTTCCAGACCTAAAGCTATTACAGCCGGCGACGCTGCTAACGCTACAGCGCTATATCCTAAGTAGAGATCCCACGTCGGTTCGGAATCCGTACCTCTGAACACTTGCAGATGAGCCAAGCCTTGGTTATTGGTAACCGTAACGGCGTAATGACCGGCTTGTTGAGATAACGAACTGGACGGTTTCAGTGAGGGCAGTATCATTTGACCGCCGCTCTTGTCGGACAAAAACTTCGGTTTCTTGCACGGTAAAGAGTGATGCAACTTGGGCGTAGATTGATCTCTGCGTTTCAGTGTAAGGGTAGCCGAGGCGTCCGTAGAAGTAGACTTTAACGGTGTAACATTGGGTGCGACAACATCATTGCGTCTCTCTATCACAATCGAGCTTTTCGTCTGTACCTTACTTGTAAATGTTGGTGTATTTAAGCTACCGCCGATGTTTGAATCCCTAAGAAAAAAATAATAATAATGTAAACGTCACAAGATCCAGTAGCTTTCGAGATCGTCAAAATATTAACTTACGTCGTGTCCGCCGGAGGCGGAATAAACATAGGCGTAATTCTCCTTTTGCCATCCGAAGTTCTAGTTTCAATTTGTTTATTGATAGGTCCTTTAACCGGAGTGGTCGTAGTGTTAGTAGGGATACTTGGTGGTATACTTGGAGCGGATACTACTTGGGGAGATTGATTAGGTGCCGGAGGCTTCAAATTGAGAAGTTCCGGTGCTTCCATCACCATACAGCCTCCTTGGTTTGCCAATGGTTTGCCATATAATCGTTCGTGCAGGCTGCTCTATTGATGAAAACAACTTGATAAACCGAATCAACGTATTTATGCACAGAACAAGTGCGGTATGTAGTATATGTAAATTACTTGTTCGGCCGGATCGAGAGGCTGTCCCAATTCCTGTTGAGTGAATTCGATAAACACTGCCGTTCCGTCCCAAGAACATGCGGCAAGCCGAAGACCACAAGGAGACCAACTGGCATCCAACACAGAATGTGTAAATAACTCGTGTATTACAACTAAGGGTCTTTTCAATGACGTCAACCACACGGATAAGGAACGATCTCGCGATCCTATTGCGACGCAGCAATACTGCTGTGGTTTAGAGGAACCTGGTTGTTTCTTTTGTAGAATGTTGCCGTTAAATTTCTATTAAAATTAAAAAAAACAACAGTCACATAATCTTTACAAACATCTCTTGATGTTGACAATAAGAGGAAAGAATTTCTTCATGTTTCTAAAATTCATTTTTTTGATACGTACAACGCATGTTACTGCTTTCCTATGTCCAACAAAATCTTTGTCTTGCGTCCAACCATCCCTTTCTATTATTTGTGCCGTAGGACCTCCCCCATTCATAGCATGTGCAGATACTAGATACTGGCCATCTGGACTCCAGGAAAGCCTCAAAACATGAGTTGTTCCACCGCATTCATCAAACGGCTCAGATATTAACGCTGCTTCCGTCCAATCGGTAGTACGCCACACCCTTGATATTTTACATATTTCAAGCATAAAACCAATAAAGAAGCAGCATTCCATGCGTAATATTTGCATAGAATTATCTTCTATTTAATTATAAAAAAAAATGTGTAACTTTTTCCGACTCTGATCTTAGTCTCATCTTAGTTATGTTTTATTTTACCTTAATGTTTTGTCATCAGATTGAGATGCTAAGTACTTTCCCACCGGATCCCAGGTAATCCCTTTCACAAAACCAGTATGACCTTTCAGTACAGCAACCACCGCGGGAAACTTAGAAGCATCCCACACTATCACACTGTTATCTACCGAAGCAGAGGCCAGCCATGGACTATGTGGCGCCCAAGCGAGATCAAGTACATCAGCTTCGTGAGAGCGCAATGTCGCAATACATCTCCAAGTTTCCACACTAGCTTTTCCACCAAAACTGGAACTTCCACCTGATCCGGATAATCTCCAAATCATAATGAGCTTATCTACACCACCTGATGCTAATAATCCGCTGTTGCTCCATCTTACACAATTCACACAAGCTGTATAAAAGTATCAATTATTTATACACGTACATTTATATATATATATAATGCATAGAAAATAGTTAAAAAGTTTTACCAAGATGATTATCCAATTGACAAAGCATTTTTGCAACATTGGAATCTACTTCAGCAGCTTCATTTACAACTGGTTCCATATTCCATATGACTACCCTTCCAGAATCACCACCTAAATTTCACATATAATTATTAAAATAATTAAAAAAATAAGAACACATTTTTTTAAATAACAAATAGTTTTACTTTCCAGTATTGAAAGTATGTTGAGTTTATGATATTGTGTTCACTAAAAATATGACAATTTTATCAGACCTTTTGATGCTTTTGTTGCAAAAATTTTGGTGTGGGTTTTCAGATTAAGATTGCATTTATATCATTTTTTTCACTAATAATAAATAGCTCAGTAATCTAGCTGCTCTTTCTGATAATAAGTGAAGTAAATATAATCTATACATCAGTTGATCATTCATCAAATCCTATGAAACTGACACAAGTGTGATCTGAACCTGAAAACTCTATGCACAGTAATGGTAATTATTGTTTAACAAAAACACACCTTGACCACCAGTGGCAAATCTCTTCCCATCAGGATGTATATCAATAGAAAATATGGGATACCCTGGTGAAACAATAGAAAAATCAAAATTCAATATTTTGTGTACAATGAGAATGATACGTGATCAAAGGTGCTACTATCTGGGAAAAAAAAATTCCTTTTACACGTGGAATCGCAAATTCTATATCTGGTTGTGTTTGATAAAACATAATACATGTGAGATCGTCTCAATTACACGTATAAAAGTATAAGTACAAATTATTTATAACCAGACACATGAAATTCGTCCGTGTATGCAGGATTTTTTTTTTCCCGAGTAATAAACGGAGTAAACATTACGAACCATCGTGAGTAACCCAGTTCGGCTTGACAAGTTTCATGTTTTCTTTTTGTCGTCTACAAAAATGCTTATTAATGACAATTACAATGTAATTAATGATTTTTTTTTCGCTAATTTACATCTTAAACTCACAAACTTCACTTCGGAGAGCACGCTATTCGCGCTAATCAGAGTTACAACATGGCTGTGCAACATGGTGTTTCACTGTATTCGCTGCCAATATAGGAACATGTCATTGCCACTACAGCAAAGGTGATGATACTCACCTTAAACGTATTGTATCTATGGGATTTGTTTAATCGTCGATTGACCGAGTTGATCAACGCGATTGGTCAATTTTTCCAGACCTGCGTCCTGCGTTACAGCGTCTGTGATGTAGACAGGCCTTGAATCAATGGCGACTTTGTTGTGCTCATTGGCCCCACTTGGTCTTGTGCCGTGCAAATGACATATGTCATTTTTTGACATGTAGTTTGTTGATTACTAGACACGTTTGTGCGTAAACTGACGGAGACCATCACCATAGAGGTTGTTTCTTTCTGCGATCTGAAGGAAGAAGTTTTGGTTTGCAAAATGTCAGCTATGTTAACCGCTGACTGGTTTCCTCTGGGACGAGATGTGTACTTTCGGTAAGTCTTGTACATTCAATTAGTTTGTTTTTGCTTTAACGCAGAATTTTATTATACATAGTTGTAGGTAACGAGATAAAATAGTTAAATTCAAGTAACATGTGTATATGTTAAAAGCGTTAATTTTTTAATTGCAGCAAATTTGAGTTGTATCCTATATCCTTCCAACACGAAGTTTCTTCAAATAATTTATTAGTGGCAGCTCCTTACGGAGGTTCCATTGCTGTGACGAGAAATCCCAAGAAGCTCATCAAGATCCAAGGAGCTAGCAAACCTTTGATATTTCTCTACTCATCCTCAGGAAAGCCAATAGCTAAACTGCAAGTAAGATTCTTTTGATCAAAATGTCTGTGATTTTAAATATTAATTATTAATGCTGCAAAATATTAAAAATTTACAAATAATATTAATTTCTCTCTAGTGGAGTAGCGGACAATTGATATCATTTGGCTGGTCTCAGCAAGAAGAATTGTTGTGCGTGCAAGATGACGGTATGGTTCTGATGTACGATATGTTTGGAACTTATCAGCATACCTTTAGCATGGGAAATGTGAGTAAAAGGACTGTGATTACAAATCTTGATTACAAATGAATTAATGAAATTAACAATAAATCTTCTTACTTTCACAGGCAGCAAAGGATGCTAAAGTTATTGATGCAAAAGTTTTCACAACATCAAGCAGCACTGGTATAGCTGTTTTGACATCTGCCAATCGTATATTTTTGGTAAACAACGTGTCCGAGCCCAAAGTTCGGCCAATTACCGATATGCCAAGCAAGTATTATTGCATATATTTTTCCGTTTGTTATTCTTGTGTTAACATTCTTGTTACATAACATTTTTGTACACGACGACAGAATATGGCGGTCCGATCGATTGCTGGTGCATGGTGCATTGCGAGAGAGAGACACAAGTAATTTTGTCAAACAAGGAAGGAATATTTGTAATTCATCAATCTTATCAACACACGCATCCTTTTGTAAGAAACGCTTAACTTATTGTGATTAATGTAATTTTTTATTTTTAAGTTCGTATCTCGCGCGATAATTAATACGCGACTTTTTTTTTTTTTTTTATGGACGAGAGCGTGTGTGGCAAATCACTTTGGTGTTTGGTTTTTCAGAGTCACCTCTTCAATAATAAAATCAACAGTGTGTTGGCAATAGCCGTGTCTAGCAACAATCGACACATCGCGCTTTACGCCGATACCGGATACTTGTATATTGGCTCGATAGACTTCAGAGACAAATATTGCGAGTGCCACACAAATATGAAGGAACCATTAGCTGATATTGCTTGGTGAGTGAAGAAACTTGCATTTTTATAAATAATATTCAACGAATTTTTATAAAATGCACAACAAATTTGTATTTTGCATCTATCTAGGTGTGGTACGGAAGCTGTGGTGTGCAGCTGGAGCAGCACGATAATGGTGGTGGGATGCGCTGCCGAAACTATAGTGTACACCTACGACGGTCCGGTTCACCTGGTCACGGAAATCGACGGAGTGCGCGTGTTGTCGAGCTCGTCTCACGAGATGATTCAAAAAGTCCCGAACGTCGTGCAGAGAATATTTCGAATCAATTCAACGGATCCGGCCTCGTATCTTCTGGAAGCCTCCAAGCAGTTCCAAAAGAAGAGCCATAAAGCCGACAGTTACATAGACTTGGTCAAGGACAAACTCGACTCGGCAATAAAAGCGTGTATCGACGGAGCGAGTCATGAATTCGAATTTGAGACGCAAAAGATTCTGATGAGAGTACGTTTAAAAAATATATACAATAGATATTGAGTGTAAATTGTGTATGTAGAACGTGTTGAAATAACATTTTGCGAATTTGTTGCAGGCCGCCAAGTTTGGAAAGGGATTCAGCAAAACGATAGACTCGGAATATTACGTTCAAATGTGCAGGACTCTGCGAGTTCTGAACGCAGTCAGACATCCTCTCGTAGGCATTCCATTAACTTATACACAGTATCCTTTTTCATATAAGTTTGTTTCTTTTTTTTTTTTTTGTTTACGGCACGTGTAATTTGAAATATCCTTATATTGCGATGTTAGATTTAATGTTCTCACGACTCAAGTGCTGCTGGACAGACTGGTAGCGCGGAGACACTATTACTTGAGCATACAAATAGCGCGTCACTTGCAGTTGTCCGAGATCGACGGGGAAAGTAGGATATTGGCGCACTGGGCTTGCTACAAGGTAAGAAATTTATTCACAACGTTGCGAGATGAGACGTTGGCAGTCGCACATGGGTTATGTATATTTTTCAGGTAAAACAAACCCAATTAGATAAGGAACAAATAGCAGAAGAGATAGCGGACAAGTTGGGATACGCTCCGGGTGTTTCCTACAGTGAAATCGCCAAAAAAGCAGCTGACTGCGGACGAAAACAACTGGCCATCAAGGTGAGTCGGTTACTTCGCGCGATGTAAAGAGCAATTTGCACCAAGTGTCTTTTGATTTTTGCCAATTTATCCCATCTCGTCCCACACCCTAGTTAATCGACTACGAGCCACGCGCTCATCAACAAGTACCCCTGCTTCTGGCGCTCGGCGAGGAACGAGCCGCTCTGTACAAGGCCGTGGAAAGCGGCAATACGGATTTGGTCTACACCGTCATTCTTCATCTCAGAGAAAACATGACTCTCGGAGATTTTCAAGTACGCAACACTTAATTGTTCCAAAAAAAAAAAGCACAAATTATGAGAGATTCGCGCACAGTATCTTACATATTCTGATTTATAATGCGCAGATGTCTATAATGCATTGTCCTCTAGCAATGGCGTTATACATCAAGTATTGCCAGAGCCACAACAGAGAGACGTTGCGCGACATTTATAATCAGTACGACGATTTTCATTCGCAAGCGGTGTGGTTCATTACCGAGAGCTATCAGAAAAAGGTTGGTAAAACTAGTTTCTTTTTTTGTTTTTTTCTTTCCATTAATTTTGTTTACGAAACAAATAAATTCCATTTCTTTTTAGAACACAATGTCGAGGGAGGCGTTGCTGCAGTCCGCTCAAGAAAATTTCAAACTAGCTCGTAACGACACCAACGTGTCGCTGACGGAGGAACAAATAAAGCTGTTGAGATATCAGAGATCGTTAGAGGACACGCTGCACGAGCCAGTTGTGGGATTGCCTCTGCACAACACCGTGAGGATGCTGTTAATGCGCAACGAGTTGAAACTGGCGGACAAATTGCGATCGGAATACAAAATACCAGAGCGGAGGTATATATAAAACAATTTTGTTTTTTTTTACAAGACCCTGAACCGTACGTGTTGAATCTCGTGTTCGCTATTCGATGCGTTTTCTCACAGATATTGGTGGTTGAGAATACAGTGTCTGGCGGAACAAGGTTTGTGGCACGATTTGGAAAAATTTTCCAAAAGCAAAAAATCTCCCATAGGCTACGAGGTAAGGACACAGAGAGACATTAGCGTTTAATTTTACTTGTACCGCGTGATATAAGAAACTTAAAAACAAAAAACAAAAAAAAACAAAACCGATTTTTTAGCCGTTTGTAGACGAGTGTCTAAAATACAACGAAAAGATAGAAGCGCGAAACTATCTGAGCAAAGTTAGAGAGGAGATGAAAGTGAAGTATTTGGTCAAATTGAAGTAAGTATTTTAAAAAGAGTGTTTAATACACGAGACACACTTATTGATGACGCAGTGTGGACGGATATTTGTTTTTTTTTTTTTTTTTATTTCTAGCATGCTGGATGAAGCGGCTGTAACGGCGTTCCAGCAGAAGGACGTGTCGGGTCTTAAGTTCGTGCTGGCGCAGTGCGAACCGTCGGACAAACAATCAATAGACAAAATCAACAAGTATCTATTTAGTTTGAAAAATTTGCCCTCATGAGCGTGAAAGATGCAAACGGCATTAAAAAAAAAAAAAAAAAAAAAAAAAAAAAAAAAAAAAAAAAAAAAAAAAAACAGAACAAACGGCAATCTCGATCGATGAACGATCGAAATTTATTATAAACGACGTGTGATATGTACGCGTGATATGAAACTCGGAACAAAGAGATTAACGAAATTGTTGTTGTTCACTCCGATAAGACATTTGCATACTTGTATATAAAATTTTGTTTTCGCTCGTTTATCATCGATTTGATTTACAAAGTCTGTGCGTCTGGTATAGCAACGGTAGGAAAAAGTGAATGTAAAAAAGTTGCTCGAATACAAATAATAAACTGGGAGCAATAAACGGTTGCCCGCTTGACGTAGTCGTCATTTATATCAAGGCAAATGTTTTTTTTTTTTTTTTTTGAACACTTGTGTTCTTCTCAATACAAGTTAAAAATTAGGGATGTTTAAATGTTGTCGAGTTAAAACGGTCGATAAAGTAAGAAAAACAAATTGGAGACTTGGGAGTCGTGACGGTTGTTTATGTTTTTAGGGGGGGCCTCCTTAAAGGCGTGGAAAAACATTTTATTATTTGTATTCGGTTTGTTATTTCTGTGGGAGAGAGAAGCAGGCGATGTAAAAATTTTTGTAGATAAGTTATTTATTATATAAAATAGCGATATTTCTTCGTGTAACCGAGGTCTATACACCTGGTTTTTGCTTCACAGTAATGATACAGTTTATATATACACAAAAGTATGTGATAGAACATTTGTTTTTTTTTTTTTTTTTTTTTTTTTTAAGATTCTTCCCATTTCACCGCAAAGATCAATTTACCTCTTTTTATTTTTTTTTTAAATACATTTCTAATAAAAATGCACGTAGTACAGCCTAAGGCAAAGCGGATCAACTAACTTCGTTGGACATAAACTGCGTGTGTTTTTTACTGAGATCGCTCACTATCAACTGCTCGATCTCTTCGCCGTTGTTCAATTGCTCGTTCGTAAGCGACAAGACGTATTCAGTTTCTTTGCTCACAATTACCACTTTTTGTTTCCGGGTGTGCAACATGTTGCCTATTACGAGCTAAAAAGAAATTGAATCTATAAAATTTGTACACACGTCTTATGTGAAAGAAAGAGCATTATTGCATGTTGAAGAGTTCAGATATTCATTTTTAAACACGAAGCGAACTTACATTGTGATGATACTTGTTCAAAGCGTTTCGCGATTTGGAGATCAGTAAACTTTCGTCCGTTTCCAATTTGAAAGAAATCACAAATGCCTTGGGCACCCACAAGCTGACCAAAGGAGCTAAGATTTTCGGAACCAATTGAAGAGATATCGTTGGCGGTCCGCTCGAGGAAATTTTGTGAACTGACATTTCGTTAGGAGGAATGTAAAAGTCGGAAACTGCCGCTGCCAGATACAAGAGAGCTTTGTTTTCGAGCGGCGCCAAAGCTTGACAAGCGGAACGAAGCAGATAGAGATATTCGGACAGAGTTGTGAAGGTGAGTTGTAGCAATTTTTGCCGATCCAACGCGTCTTTGTATTTTTGCAATATCGTTACCACCGTCCGTGTGTGTTCCGGTAATACTGCAAAACAAAAAAAAAAGCAGATATTACAGTTTTGTCGTATCGTGTCGTAAAAATTAACAAAACAAAAGCAATTGCGTTCTGTGTTCAGTGTTACCTGTTACAACAGGATTTTCACTGTTATCTGATATCTGAAGCAAATCTAGGAACTTCTGACCTACAAAATGCCTTGAGTACGGCTCCAAGGACTTAATTCTGCAAGTAAAGACATAAATTTTATACACACTGTTAACATAACAATGTACATGTATGATTTTTTTATCGGCGATGAAGCAAACATTGATTACCTATATAGAAAAATAACCGCGTATCCGTGTTCTAGAAAATATTCCGTCGAAACGGATCCTCTTGTTCCCGCTGAAAAATTATCAACAAACCTGACCGTGTTGTGTTCCAACGGCACTGTTGTACCTCCGCTCTAAAAATGTTTAAAAAGTTAAAAATTGCCATTTAAAAAAAGGCTGTTGTACCTCCGCTCTAAAAATGTTTAAAAAGTTAAAAATTGTTTAAAAAAAAGACTAGGATATCAAAGACACACTCACCGTCACCAACGCTATCTTATTGCCATCTTTTAAATGCTTCTGAGTGAATTCTTTAAGTTTGTTTTCATTCTCTGTCAAATCTTGGGGCGGTGGTTGTTTGGCATAAAATTCCTCCCAAGCGGAAACCATAGTAAATACCTGTAAGAAATTTATTTCTTGGATGTGCAATATACGTATGTGTGTGTGTGTTTATATGTAAACGTAATTAATATAAAAGTTAACGCTGTGTTATGTAACATGTATTTTACATGATAAAGCACTTGAACTTCGTTCCACAGAGTGCTGAAGGATTTAATACGCACAAACAAGCATCTAATTTAAATGTTTCTTAATTTGATTGAACAAATCATTTAATACACACTCTTGACTAAAATACACACATACTTATATCGCATTAATTTGTTTATATAATTTTTTGGTTGTTAATTTTATTTATTGGATTTCAAATTTCATTTTAAAATTCCTAACACCCACTGTGTGTATCAACGTTCTTAATTAGTTTCGTACAAATAATATATACACAACTAATTAAGAAAAGATATTTGAAAAAAATTTATGCAAAAATCAAAAAATCAAAAACTAACCTCGATTAGCAAAAAGAATCAAGTTTAATCGCTATAATGATTAAGCGGCACTTCGGTGTCAATCAATTGCTTAAGAATTTTGAAGTATACATACATCAGAATCTTTGTATATTTCTTTATATATATATATATATATATTTGTTTATTTGACACTTGAAACACCTTTGTCTCTTTACATCACGTGTGCGCGTGTGTGTACACGTACGTACGTACCTTTTACGCACCACAGCTTTTCATAGGGTGCGTTCAGACAAACTCAACGGGTTAAGAGATCATCACTTGTGATAGGACTATTCTTCAAGATCTGCTTTGGTTCCAAAAGTACGACCCAATCAGAAGTCATTATCTCTCAACCGTTGCGCAACTGTTGAGTTGTCTGAACACACCCATTAGGTGCGTTCAGACAACTCTCAACGGGTTGAGAGATCATCACTTGTGATAGGACTATTCTTCAAGATCTGCTTTGGTTCCAAAAGTACGATCCAATCAGAAGTCATTATCTCTCAACCGTTGCGCAACTGTTGATTTGTCTGAACGCACCCATAGGATAAGATCCGAGTCACGCTACGAATGCTTCGAAGTGTTATTTCATCTTCGTCGAATCAAGGTCGAATATTTGCAGCTTGGATCTTAATCTTCTAACGCGATGGCGGCAAAGCAAAAGAAGGAATCAGCTAGCGCAGACGCAACTTTTAACTTCGGACCACGGCTCTGCGGCAGGTATTCGCGGTCGAATCTTGTTTTTAAGATCTCGTTTTGATATCCCGATGTTCGATCCGCGGTCAATTGGATCCGTACGGTCTCTTGAGACGATTTTGAAAAAAAACAATCTCAAACACGAGACATCAGACCGCAGATCTGTGGACTATATCACGGAAAAAAAAAGTTAGCTCTCACAGCTAAAAATTAGGTGTGGTTCCTAAATTTTGGTAGTATTATGGACACCTAACCTCTTAGTGCTACAAGACATACATATTTTGCTATTATGTCGATATATTTAGGAATATCAGCAAACTGTTTCTATGTAATAGGAAATTTTATAGTTACAGCAGCAAATTCATTTCAGCAAACTGTGGTAGAAACTATTTTTTTTTCCGTGTAGCTCTACAAACTACGAATCGATTGTGTAATTTTTCTTAATTGTAAAAACGTGGAAAGTATAAAAGTTTTCTCTCCCATTGGTTTTTACATGTAAAATTTTATTCAATCTAGGAACGAGAAAACCGAAGTTACGCGACCGCCAAGGAGTCTTCCTCAACAACTTTACGAAAGTTCAGTTCAACGCGAACTTGGGTAGGTTTTTCACGTGCGAAAGTTTTTCAAGGAAAAACCATATCGAGGGACCGGGGGAACGAAACCTGATGGAAATATCGAAACGGATATGACCGATCAAAATGGCGCCGGAAGCGGCGGTGGTTGAACTCACGCGATACGTTCATTTCATATACGTTCACACGTTCACCGACCAGGAAAATTTATTTATGTTTCAATTTCACATCTACGCCAGAACTGATCAGTTATTAATCGCGAAAGTGTTGTTGCACGCACAGCAAGCGTTAACGGATTTTTTTTAACAGATCATCTACGGAATATTCCGCTTGCAATTCTGTGTACCTACAAAAAATGTTTATGCACACAACAATTTATTTTTGTACAAGTTTTCGTATTTGAACTTGTATTTTTAAGAGCGTTTTTATTTAAAAAAAAAACAAATACCTTTTTTTGTTCCTATTTGTTTATATATTTTCAAGAGCGTTTTTATTTAAGAAAAATTATTTTGTTTCTGATTGTCTTGTAATTTAATTACAGATAAGGGGACGTGAAGTATTTTACTTATTGAGAGATTTATTTAAAAAAAAAACAAATACCTTTTTTTGTTCCTATTTGTTTATATATTTTCAAGAGCGTTTTTATTAAGAAAAATTATTTTGTTTCTGATTGTCTTGTAATTTAATTACAGATAAGGGGAACGTGAAGTATTTTACTTATTGAGAGAAGATAAATATGATTGTAAAAACGACTTCTCTCTACACGAGCAGAGTAGCGAGAAATTTAAATTTAATTTCTCGTCATCAGAGGATACCACACCCGGACAAATAAAACAAAGATGACGCGCGCGAAGACGAGACTACTTGCTATTAATTGCAAACGTATATCATTGACGCTCTCCTTCTTCCCTGAGAGATGAGAGAATGAGAAGAAAAAAAAAAAAACGAGTCTTCTCTCTCTCCCGAGGCGGCGAAGGTTGCTTGGATTCCCCGTTATGTCGGGGTCCGTAAACCTCGCAGAAGGACGCCGCGCTTTTCTCCTCTCTTTCACTCGGCCGTCATTCCGGCGGCGAGCAGTCGGCGTACGCCGCGGTCGGGAACGTACGTACATACAATAATCCGCCGTATGGTGCAATACTCGTCGAATAACGAAAGAGAGAAAAAAAAAATAAAACGGTTATTCGATCGGAAGAAGATTATCGTCCAAAATGTGATCGCCCTCCCTGCCCCCAGTTCGAAACGGATCCTTGTGCCAGTTTGACAACAATCTGCGATGATCTGTTCGCATCTTTTTGTCGCGTACGTGTGTGCATGCTCACCGGTTTCTACGTCTATTCATGCGCGCCGTTCACGCGGACAATAATGCCGCTGACTGATCAACAGTGAAATTCATTATCGATTCATTAATCGGCGATGACGAAACATTGTCCACGTCCTGCCGCACATCGACATGCTGCGGAAAACGCGATCATGATGTAAGTGTTTCATATTTCTTTTTTTTTTCGGTTGATGACACAAATATGAAATAGCTGATGTTAGGGATAAGGTAACCAATCGAGAGTCCTTGCTTATATTATATATAAAACAATAAATAATCTCATTTAAATTTATTTTAATACTGTAATATATTTTAACATATATCTTAAAATTATATATAAAATCTATAATTGATATTTGATACGTTATATCTTTATTTTCTATTAATTTATGTTTTATATTGTACTATAATTTTTATTTTTATTAATTTATATTCTGTATTTTTTTAATATCTAACATGTATTCTATACATAATTTTGGTTTTTTTTTAGTAAAATACAGATGGAAATAAGAGGTAAAAGAAATGGAAGACTAATATTAGCACGAAAGAACCTGTTTTTACGGTTCGGAAGATTTTAGCGACTGAAAAAGCGAGTCTCTCCGTCGTGGCATGTATTTATTTTTTCTTTCACTCACTCTCTCAGTCCGGTCATTGCGACATCTCAAAGATTCTTCGGACGTAAAAGGATAAATTGAAGGACACTTTATTTGTGTTCTCCAATGCCCTAATCTTGAAAATATTTTAAGTATAACATAAAGTCTTGAAAATATTTAAAGTAAATAATATGAAGAATGTCCGACATGTTTTTGCTTTGAGAATGTCGTCGTCAGGCACAACCCGACTGACACTGACATTTAAAAAACGATTCGAGAAATGAGAAAGTTGAGGAGGTGCATCATCATCATCATCAGTAGATCACCAGCTTCAATGTGCAACGATCGCATCGACACGCAACGGTTTTGTTTCTTCAACTTTTATTTAACATAAACGCGAAGACGGAAAGTATCGTGATAAGATTTACAAAGTTTGCGCGTTTTTCCTCAACAACACAACACGTTTCGACGATTGTTAGTATAGTTCGTAAAAACCGTTTTTTTGCCAAATAGCTGCGAACAACGCAAACGAGCGTTCACTTTTATCGAAGATAGTGAAATCGTTGCTGCGCGCTCTTGCATCAAGCAAATTGTATTATTATTGCGCTCGGCGTGCGCACACCGGGACACTTTCTATGACGACGACGATGAGGCTGGAAACAACACAACAAAATCAGTGACACTGACGAGTCACTCGGAAAATTGTTACCTGTCTGGTTGCGCTTGAGCAAATTGATTGATTCGCTTCATTCACGTGTTTGTTGTTCGAATACGCGCCAAGTTTCGTGAGAGAATGTCAATCGAAAAAGTGTGCGATTTGCTTGAATTTTTATCGAAATTCGTTGAACTTTTGCGGCACATCAAAGCGAACGATCGTTCGGAGATAAACGCGTTATTTTTTTTTTTTTTTACATTGTCATAAAATTGTCGAGTACTGATTAGTGAAAGGCGTCTGGTAGCTAGGCGTCTAACGTAGTTTGTTTAATTAGAAGTCGGGACTTGACTGTCAACAAGGATTCTTGCAATCGTAGGTAGAAAAGAAATCCTGCCTAAGGCGGTGCTGCTTGGGATTACACGAACTCTCTGCAAATAAGCAACCTACCGTTACTCCGACTCGCCATCGGCTCGAATCGCATTCCGAGCTTCGAGAACGGCGCCGGTGGGAACGTGCCCGTGCGCGAGAGAGATATTTTCTCGTGCGGCCGAACAACATTGAAAAATACTCCGCTTTGAAATTTCCAAAGTGGAAACTTTACTTTCTTCAACGACGAAGAGACATGATCCCAAGAGAACGAGAGAGAGAGAGAGAGAGAGAGAAAGAGAAAATAACTAACAGGCCGTCATCACGCAAAATTATAATAGATAGTAAATTACATGTTGTTTAAATTCTGTTTTGTTTCTCTGCTAATGACTAAGCGATAAGTGATACTGTAATTATTCCCGTCAGACTGTGACTGCAATTATGTTGTTACGGACAGATCTGTCGGAATCCAAGAATAATCAAAATAAGGCGAGATTAGAGTCGCTCCCAATGTTGTCGGTGCGTGGGAATTATACAAGTTTTTAATTTGAAAGCAAAATTTATTATTTTCAAAAACAGGTAAAACTCCGAGATTAAATTTCAAAACATATTTTTCAAATATGTTTTTTTAGCTAAATATTATGTATATCTGAACTGTATATTTTTATCAATAATAATATATTTGAAAAATAGTAAATAAGTAAAATAAAAATATAAAAATAAAAAATAGTGTAAAACGTTAGAAGACATGAGGCAAACATTTTCGTTACTTCTCAGAACAACCCGAGAGATTTCGACACACACACACACATATATATATATATAATACAATGGTGTTGATTTGCAAATTAGATTGACCGATATCCCACACACCGGGGCCGACTCGCGTGCACAGTCTCATTTCCACGAGTGTTTGAAACCGCGCGTTGTCATATTTCTAGGCCACATCTGTTGATTGTCTTCCTGGTGTTGGGCGTTCTACCGGCGTTCTCGAGTCGTCAGACACAACAATGGAGACCCTGCGTCGAGCTGAAACGGGATCTTCTGGTGCATTGCAAATGCGCGATATCCGCGAGTTATTCCCGATCGATCGAGATGAATTGCGACCGTGTGATCTTCACGCGCGACACCGTGGACTTGTTGCGGGGCCAGCCGATCGTGTCCATAAGCCAGAGGAATTGCGGCCATCAGACTCTGCCGGAAGATCTGATCAATTCCGGTCTCAATCTGAGAAAACTCGATCTGTCCGGCAATTCGATCTATCGGCTGATGGATCGCGTGCTGCAGGAACAGAGCGAGTTGCGCGAACTTCGACTCGCCGACAATCTGTTGGGCGACAGCCTGAATCCGATCTTTTCCAGCAACGAGTTTCACAACATGGAGGAGCTCGAGGTGCTCGATCTAAGCAGAAACGGTCTCAGAAGTTTGGAAGAGGGAATTTTCAAGGGATGCACCAGTCTCCAAGAATTGTATCTAGACGGTAACAACTTGACCGCGGTGCCAACGGCATCCCTCAAAGGGCTACGCGCCATCAAATTGCTCTCACTGGCCGGCAATAACATCGGTACGATCATTTCTTTTGTTCGTTCAACGTTTGTTTATATTTTAATTTATTGTTTTTCGCGAGTACACGAGAGAAAGAGAGAGAGAGTGAGAGAGAGAGTTGCGCAAAAACAACAACTTGACTTGCTTCTCTTTAGAAACGAACGATTCAATCGAATGTCTCGAATCGACTCCCAGATGCGCGCGTTCCGATGAAATCACAAACGGAGAATCTCTTCAAACACACGCGCGTGTCTCTCTCTCTCTCTCTCTCTCTTTCTACACGCGCACACATTTCACGTAATGCGCGTCTCTATCGCTTCTCTCTTCGGAACAGGTTTAACGAGGCGAATATTCATCGGGCGTGTTGAGAATTTATTATTTTACACGCGTTCTCCCTTACTTTCTCCGCTTGTCTTTAATAAACATTTTTTGCGGTCTTCCGCAAAGTTGCGCGGTTTTTTTTTTTTTCACATCTAATTTTATGCGCGCGAAACCGATACGATTCTCGTCTATAATTGCATTGGTTTTTTGTTAGCAGGTACTCTTCCGCGAGGAAGTTTCGCGATTCTCGGCGAATCTCTGTTGCGATTAGATCTCAGCGACAACGAACTGTCTCACATAGACGACGGTACTTTCTCCGGGGTTCAGCACTTGTTGTTTCTGAACATTTCCCACAACTCCCTCGCTCGGTTCAATAGCGACGTCTTCAAAGGTGAGAGATATATATATTTCATTTACAGATCGTTGTTCAATTTGTTGGAAAAGAAAGTTTTTCCATCACACTTTCTGTTTGCAAAATATAAATTTAAATAAATGAATTTTAATTCACTTAATCGAGAAGTAATTTAAATAAATTTGAATAAGAGCGAATCTTTTTTTTATTTAAATAGAAACGAAATGTTTTTGTATTATATTTTCACGGAAGATAAAGGTGAAAGAACTGCGGGTTATAGAAAATGCGAATGGAAAAAAAAAAAAAAACGTTATGTGGAAATTGTGCGTAATTCTGTTTGCGTGCCGCAAATAATAAAAACTGAACAGAATCGCGCTTAAAAGAGAGAAAGAAAAAACAAATTGTCCTAACGGTTTCAGGAGCGTTCAGTTTGCTGCAGTTGGATCTGTCCGCTAATTTTCTTCAGGAATTTCCCACCGACGCGCTCAGACACTTGATAGATCTGAGATTCCTCAACATCTCCAACAACTTGATCGTCGTAAGTACTTCCGCTCGTTACCGAACATGTTGTTCAATCGCGCTGATGTTTTTTTTTTTTTTTTTTTAATTGTCGTTCGAAGTTTGGATTTCAAAATGAAATTATTTAAGTTGAGATGTGTGAACAAAATCGCGTGAAAACTCTTTAATTTCTTTGCAGGAAATAGAACGGACGCATTTGTCAAGCCTGACCGAGCTGCAAGTGTTAGACCTAAGCCGGAACAACATAGGCCGGCTCGAGGTTAATACGTTCTCTAGCCTTTCTGCTCTCACGCGTTTGGATCTGAGCCTCAACGCGTTGCGCACGGTACGTTGTGGTATATATAATAGAGAGAGAATTTTAAACAGAAGCGCGCGCGCGCGCGCGCACGGTGAAAATCAATTACAACGCGTTTCACTTTATAATTCTCTTTCACGTTTTATTTGATACATTCAATCAAAACATGAATTGAATGAATTTATCTTCATTGCTTGAAGATAAACAAAGAGAAATAACATTAATAATTTCAAGATGAAAAGAAATTTATTTATACAGACGAAGATTCTCTAATTAGATTTTTTTTCAATTCCTGGATTTTCTTTCGCAGATCGAAGAATCGGCCTTCGAGGGCCTGACGAAGCTGAAGTGGCTATCTCTTCGAGATAACAACATCTTGCTTGTGCCGGCCTCGGCTTTCACGCGATTGTCGTCCCTCGCTTACTTGCACGTGGAATTCAATCGCATCGCCGCGCTCTCCGTCGAGCTGATTCGCGCGACGTCAACAAACCTCGTAAGTCTGAGCCTTACGCGTAATCTGGTGCGTGAGATCCCGCCCCGACTGTTCAACAACTTCAAGAATCTCATCAGCATCGAACTATCCGGCAACTTGCTTTCTGTTATTCTGCAAAACACATTCGCCGGATTGGAGGACACTCTGCTGAACCTGGACGTGTCCTGCAATCGACTTACGTCTGTCAACGAGTTGCCGCTCAAGAATCTGCTCTCGCTTAATCTCGCGAATAATCAGTTGAAACAGATCTCGCCGGATACGTTCAAATATCTGCATCGTTTGCAGTATTTGAATCTCAGCGGCAATCCCTTGTACAGCGGTTTTCCGCCGGTATTTCCATCGTCCTTGATCAATCTCGACGTATCGTACACGAAACTGAAGATTTTGCCGACCGTGTTGTTGCTAAATCTCGTGTCGTTGGAGAAGATCTCTCTGGCCGGCAATCAGTTGCAGGAAATCGACGAGGGCACGTTCCAACATCTTTATAATCTCACGGCGATCGATCTCTCGTACAACGCCATCGACAGAATCGCCAATGGCGCGTTCGTTGGCTTGATCAATCTCCAATCGTTGAATCTGCGCGGCAACAAACTCACGTCGTTCGTAGGCGAGCACTTCAACACCGGCACCGGTCTCGAGATACTCGATCTGTCGGAAAATCGCATCAGTCAACTGTCACCCACGGCTTTTGTGATACATCCGCGACTCAGACGGCTCGATCTCTCGGGCAATCAATTCGTACAATTTCCCAGCGACTTCGTCAAGTCGCTCCAGTTTCTCGAATGGCTCGACCTATCCAGAAACACGCTGCGCCACGTGAGCGAGTTCGCTTTCTCGCAGATAAACAGATTGTACAGCCTGAATCTCTCCGGCAACAAAATCGAATTGGTACGTAAACGTCTTACATAGAAATTAATGAATTAAAAATGGAAAAACGAGTGATTTTTTCTTGGAAATAAAAGTTCTGACGCATAAAATAAATGTTGTTGTTTGCAGGTTGACGACTTGGCTTTTCACAATTCCACGCAGCTTCAGCTGTTGAACTTGTCCGAAAACATGTTGGAGACGCTGAGCGAACGCACGATGGAAGGTCTGCTTCGATTGGAATTTCTAGATCTGCGCGACAATCGACTCGCTTCTCTTCCCGAAACCATTTTCGATCCGTCCAGAATTCGCGCGGTCGAGAAGATCGATTTGTCCGGGAATCGGTTCAACGAGATACCGGTGCGCGCTCTGCAACGACAATTGTCGTCTTTGCTCACCTTGAAGATAGCTCGCAATCGAATAGTGGAGATGTTTACGCAAGATGTCGTCAACAATGTGAAAGAACTCGATCTATCGGAGAATTCTCTGAGCGTAAACGCGATACGCGGCGTGTTGGGCGAGGTGAAGATTTTGCGAACCCTAAATCTGGCTGGCACCGGTATTAAGACGATTCCTAGACTGGAAACGCCGTTTCTCAAGCATCTGAATATTTCCAACAACGCGATCGCCGACATCAAACCGGTCACTTTGGAACGTACCACGATGCTGGAGAGTCTGGACGTGTCGAGCAACCATTTAACGGATCTGACGAATCTAATTAGCACTTTTAAGATCCTGCCGGTGCTTCAGAGTTTGGACGTTTCCAACAACAAGATAAAGACCGTCAACGAGAGTAGCTTCGACGGATTGAACGCGCTGCGCTCGTTAAAAATGGCAAACCTGCCGAATTGTACCAGAATCGAGAGGAACGCGTTCCGATCGCTCAAGAAACTGAGATCCCTGCACGTCTACAACTATCCCAAGCTAGGCTACTTCGACGTGCAGGGCATACTGAAGGATATGACGAATCTCGAGACCCTAGACATCGAGATCAAGGACTCGTCAGTGGGCAACGAACAATTGTCGGTCCAAACTCATCCCCATCTGCGCGAGCTGACACTGAGAGGAGAAAGATTGCGAAGCGTACTCTCGAGTTCCCTGGTTGGCGTGCGAGGATCCGAGTTGTTCCTGGGTTTAAAAAACACGTCCGTCGATTCGATACCGACCGCTCTGTTTTTCCCCGTGCCTCGTTCGACCAGAATAGAACTGGACATTTCCGGCAGCAAGTTCACCAATTTGCCAGCTCAACTGCTGGCCGCTTTGGACGAACGCGGCGGTTCCGTGAGACTCAGCGGCTTGATCAACAACCCGATCAACTGCAACTGCGAGACTAAGCACCTGTGGAGATGGCTCAGATTGTCCGGCAACAAGGCGCCCGCTGTCATCTGCGCCAATCCCGATCACCTGGCCGGTGCACTTCTGACTAATCTCACGGAAGAGACTCTAAGTTGCACGACCTCGACGAAATCACAAACGATGGAAACAACATTGTCGACCACCAAATCGACAACGTCCGAGCCGCAAATTATTTGGACCGTTGCGCCGACGATGCAGAACAACAAGAACAAACATTACAACAACGATCATACAAGTAAACAAGTTTTCTGTACACTTTTATTGTGATAATCAATTTTGGGACAATTGCGCTACAATAATATTAATGACTGTACACAACCATAAACATACGTAATATTTGTATAAATTATTTAAATGAATATTTAGCAACATCTTTGTGATCTTATTTTATATAGGTATTCCTTCAATGAGCAACATCTCGAGCACCGAGGACACGCTGATCATCGGTATCGTCGGTGGCGTGGTGGCGTTCATCGCGATCATCGTCATTGCGATCTGCATATGTCGTTTGCGGTGGAGCAGTCAGATGCAAGAAGCGAGATTGGCGGCGATGACCGCGTCCAGTATTCACGAGGCGTCGATGATACGACCAATGAGCGCCTACTCGGGCAAGATCAATCCCCACGAGGCGGTGTACATGGGATCGTACAACGGATCGACCTTGGGACGCGGCGGCAATTCCATACCTCCGGTCACCCCCGTGCAGATAATGCCGTACGTGCAACCGATGCACGTGATGCACGCAATGGGCTCGTCCCCGCCACCGTCCGTGCAACAGATCTACGGATATCACGAGAACTCCCCTCTCCCCATGTACGCGAGAGACAACAAGCTGGATAGATAAATCTGTTGACACATTCATCTGAAGACAATTCCGATTAACCAAAAAAAAATAAACTTCAAGAAGACGCACCGACAACAAATATGTAAATTATGTAAATTCTATTAACAAATTTTTATATAAAATACACATACGAACGACACAAGGTGTCCGACGAAACGGGAAACTCCAAGAGAAGAGTTTCTTCTCAACTTTATAAAGAAACGAAAGTTTTTTACACGAGAGTACGGTTTATATTAATTACAATTTAAATAAAACAAAAAAAAAACTAATAAAAATTCCTTACGAACAAGTAAAGTTCGCTTGGAACTCTCGATGCTTCTCGTCGCACTTCTGACGTAAATTAAAATTGCGACCTTCGTACATAAAAAATCAAACTTTCACGCGCATACCACACGCGTGAGCAAAGCGCGAAACGAGAACTTATACAATGTGTTGTCAATTGATTCCGATCGGCAGCACGGGAATGTCAATGTCGCAATCACAAATTACGTACTTGTTTTCAAAAATGTTTGTTGCGCAAGCATCTCCGATCGACAATTTTATTCTTGTGAAAAAAAAAAACGAGTAAATGTGCGAGTAATAATAAATGTACAATAAATACACAAAGAGATGTACACCTATAAAAAAAAAACTTGACAATGCAAATTACATATAACGTTCGTTATTTGTTTTATATACATGAAAGTAACGCTAGGATATAATCGAAGATTACACACAGATATATTAATTACATTAAATAAATTAAGGACAACATGGATTTTTACGTCATACCGTGAGATTACACACAACAAATTAAAAAAAAAAAAAAATTACATGTTCGAATACTACGTGTGAGAAGTGTGATCGGTTTTATATCATCTGTAAGAGATAGAAACTGAATTATTTTACGTGGACGGAGAGAGAGAGAGAGAGAGACTTGTTATTTATAAAACATAATATAATAATTTGAAACATCGTCAAGAGGAAAATCACACGGAATCGACACACTTTTGCGGCATTATATTGTAGCAAGTAGCACGGTACGCTAGCATGTGTGAAAAGGGGTGAGTGGGTGTGGTACGTGTCTAAGTAAACAAATTGCTAATTGATCCGCGGCAACAGATCGACCGTAACAGAGCACCGTTTTAACAGATCAGGGGGGGGGGGGAGCCATCTGGTTCCTTTCGCAAACAGATCCGTCGCGATTCTTTGAAGATTAAATTCATCATTAAATTTGATGGATTTCGACAGGGATCCGCCGTTCAAATCTGCGTTCGACAGAGATTGAATTGAAATCTGTTTCTGACACACAGACTCGATTCGAAGACTTGTCCGCGTATTTTAATTCTTTCTTAAGAAGTTACGTTATTTTTTTTTCTGGATACTGACTATCGCGGAATTCGATAAATATGTAATACGAAATAAGTATCGGAAAGCCCATAGGCGCGAATTTTATAAAATCGTTAAACAACCTTAACGTTAAACAACCTTAACGTTAAAAACAACATGTGTAATCTTAATGTAAACGTTTTTTTTTTTACAAATATGACAATGTCTCCAGAGCATTGTATATTTGATCGAAGTGCGGCCGTTTCTCGGGCTCGTACTCCCAGCACCGCAACATCAATCGATAAATCTCCTCGGGTGTTCCTTCCGGGGCCGGCATTCGATATCCTGTCGAATGTATATTATTCAACAAAGTGGTAAGACATTAGAAAACGTGCAAAGTACGTTCGTACATTAAATCGCGCGACATATAAATCTCGGATACTTATTTGTTGATTTTTTTTTTTTTTTCTGGTTGCTTCTCACCTGCGTCTATTTTTTCACGCGCTTGCGAATTTGACATACCGCTGTACGGATTCCCGCCCTTCGAGAATATCTCCCACATCAGAATTCCGTAACTCCACACGTCACAGAGCGATGTGTATTTACCTACGTTTATTTATAATTCGGTGAAAATTGTGTAGTGTATAAATTAATATACGAAAAGATGAAGAAAAAATTATTAGCGAAACTGACCGAAATTCAGAGCTTCCGGTGCGGTCCATTTGATGGGAATTTGTTTCATACCGTCCGAAACTATGTACTCTTCTTCCTCCCTCGACATTCCGAAGTCGGAAATTTTGACTATGCATTCGTGTCCTGAGAGAAAATCCAACAATGTTCGATACGAAATCTTGTGTGTTAAAAATGTTGTCAAAATGTTGTAATTTCTAACGAGTTTCCGCGATTGTTATTTACCTACGAGGCAATTGCGGGCAGCCAAATCTCTGTGAATACAGTACTTAGATTCCAAGTAGCTCATACCAGCCGCGGCGTCTTTGCACATACGCAGCTGCTCCCGCTGTGTTATCGTACCGGCATTTTTTCGCAAATACGTGAGCAACGAACCACCTAACGTTAGAGAGCGTAAATTGTTGAAATTAAATTAAATATTATCGCTTTTAACATTTATCTTCTCACAAAAGCGTGTCAAATGTGGAAAAGCTTTCTCGACAACTTACCGGGCACCAATTCCATCACGATCATGATCGGTTGTTTTTGCACGCAGATGCCGATCAGCTTGACTATATTTGGATGATCGTATTGCTTCAGTATTCTCCCCTCTTGCAGAAACTTGCGCTTCTGCTCGTCCGGCAACGTTACCTTGCACGTTTTCACGGCCACATCAGTCTTACAAGTTTTCAGTTGCGCTTTGTAAACATCACCGAAATTTCCCTATTAAATTACACACATGTCGGCATTACATAATAAAAACAAACACATACACACACACATACACACAGAAAAGAAAGCTATTCTCGTTCCCCTTACCCGACCTATTTTCTCCAAAAGGATGACATCATCGTTATTAAGCTCCCATCGCTCGCGCAAAATTGGCGTTTTAAGAATAGCACCAGATCGACTAGTCACCGGAAGACCGGACAACCACTGATGTCTGATCAGTTCTTGAATAGACGGAAATGTAGGCCCTTCGAACCTGTAATGTCCCTGTGGCGCGCGACAACACATGTTTTTTAATCACGTAGTTTTTTTATTTTTCGTTTTTTTTTTTTTTAAATCTGTATTTTTTATATACCTCCGGCGTTGTTTGTACGATAAAATGTTTGTGGCCGTCCCAACATACGGACAGAACTATCTGACACTCCTCGTTCCTCATTGTTTCGCGCACTAAAAAATCACCCTCGGTAACGAGCAGTCTCACAACTTCTTCTCTGGGTAACACTCCGTGAAACCATTCCTCTTCCATCAGACCTCCGTTTCCGTTGCTTTTTTGGTTGTTGGTTAAATGCGAAATTCCACGCAACGGTACCTAAAAGAAAACAAAAAAAAAAGACAACTTCGCTCAGAGACAAGAGAAATAAGTTAAGAGCGAAATATTAGTAGTAAAATTTAACTCAGTTACTGCCATGTATGTACAGAGTCATTATTGTTTTTATATAAACGGTCCATGTGTACAAAAACACACACACGTAAAAACAGGAACTGAATGTGCGTATTCACATGCGGATCATTCTCACGTTGTACAAATGTTATTGCTATATACACGCGAACACACATAAATTATATATATTCCGGATAATATTGTAAATACACGCAATATTATTTACAAAGTTTCGCGCAACAAATTTGCAACAACAAGCGGATATTAATGTGAGAGTTTACGACAGAACCGTCATAAACGTTACTGTCTCTCTCTCTGATGACAAAAATTGTTATTATAAAAAAATATTTATTACACAGAGAAGCTGAGATATATACATAACACAAAAAAATGAAAAAAAAAAAAAAAAACCATTCAGATAACACACACAAATAAAGTGGTGAACATACAACAGGAGGAACATTATTGTCTGCTTTGACAGTAGGCCCTTCGCTATTTGCCCTAATCATTCGGTTTTTCGAGTCATTAATTGCCGGTAAGGATTTGAAAGGTGTTTTTAATAGTTTTATGAATCGTTGATTTCTTCTCAAGGTGAATAAACCACTATCCGCAACCGTGCTTCTCTGTAATAGCACTGCAGATCTAACTAACTTGTAATTCTAAACAATTTAACAAAAAATAGAATTTCTTAAGACCAATTATGTGTTTGTATAACTTGTTTTTTTTTTTTTTCTCAATATTATTTCTGTTTTGCGTATTTTAGAACTTAAAACGTCGAAAACCTCCGCGTTCAAAATTCATTATTTTTTTTTTTTTAACATATTTGCAAACTGTAACTTGAGATTATTAGAGATCGTTTTTATATTTACTTTGTTAATTGTAGGCGATTCGGTGAAGGAACCTTCCACGGAAAGATCGCAACCCGAAGGTAACTCTTCGCAGCCCAATTCATTGAGAGCGCTCCTAATTACGTCCACTTGTTTCTGTAACTTTTTTTCCTGACAACGTAATCTCAGCTCTTCTCTTTCGCGAGAATAATCCAAGACCGAAATCCTAGAGTAACAATAAATGAGAGAAAACATACTTCAAAATTATAAAAATACTTCGTTGCGACAATTTCGAGAGTCTCGGTTTAATTCGAAAATTCGATAACGAGAAAGAACTATCTAGGCAGCAGAGATCGTTTATACCTAGAATCGCTGTTATTTTCTTGCGAGAGTTGCGGGGTCTGTCGATTTTGTTGCGTGAGTTTGAGAGCAGTCTCAAGCTCCGTCAGGCGACTTCTCAACCAGTCTATAGTCAAATTATCCACAGTCAGTTTATTTGGTGACAATTTCCCCGAAGTGTCGTCTACGAGATTCTCGTCAAATGTGAATCTGATCGGCGATGCTGGCCTAGTTCTACATCAAACATCAGATATACGACGCGTATGTTTCAAATACAGATATAAAACATGAACAAAAAAAAATTGAATGAATTATTAGATCTCTACTTATGTTTCCCAATAAAATCTCTGTACTCTTCCATAGGCTTGATATTGTCGACTGCTTTCTGCACTCGGTTGTGAATCTCCAGAAATTTTTCCGTCGTAAAATCCGAATATTTTACAATATCTTGAAGTATTCCTTTCCTTGAAAAATTAAAAATAAAAAAAAAAAAAAAGGTACAACAGAAAAGTTTTCAATTACACATAAAACAATGACAATACAACAAATTTTATGTAGATGTGTGAGTCTTACTTTGTTACAATTAGCCTTTACCTTCTCCGTTTCTAGTACGCACAAACAGAAATACACAAAAGATATTGAAAAAAAAAATGTAAAACACTCAAAGATCGCATCGTGATAACAAAAGACGTTTAGAAAATTTTGAAAAATGTCAAATCATCTGAAGTATATTTATGAGAACAGTCTTCGTAATATAATGAAGCGAAAAACTCTCACCATGAGGTTATAAATTCTTGGTGAATTGCTTGCTGTCGGTGTAGCAAACTTGGCAAGTAACAAATCCTTAAATCATGCTCACATTCTGTCACAGCTCCTAATAATAACACATATTCGTTATGTGTCAGATGAAGTTTTCGGCATGCCTTCTGATATTTTTCTCTCACTTCATCTAATTTACGGCCGCCTCTACCAGCTAGGAAATTCATATCACTATGATACCACCTTGTTTTTTTTTTTTTTTTTTTTTACAGGGAAATCCCTGTATTTAACTTGTCTAAGCCAACGATACAGAAAGATAAGCAATTTTTTGGGTGGAAAGAAACGTACACTTACACTTTACATAATACTCCTCAAACCTTGACCTCATTAATTTATACATTTCTAGATTCTTCTGATACTCCACTTTTTTCCTAGTCACGTCCTCCGTCAGCTTGAGAACGAAACAAATGTGCAAAAGAATTAGTTTAAACCCACTTAGCCACCCGGGTTTTAATTTGAAAAAAATACTAATATATATATATAGCACATCTGAGAATGCATTTCTTAATTGATTGGCTCTTGCAATTCGATGGAATGTTTCATTACCTGTTGAAACTGGTTGTTCAACCAGATCTGTTCCTCCTGATAAAGCTTTTTAGCTCTTCTTCTTTCGGTATACAATGCGGTCAACTGATCCACAACAATGTTCTCGATGGAATCAGCTTGTTGCTTGATCAGTTTCGCAGTCTGATCAATCGATTCCATTATATCTCGCCAGCTCTGTTGTCAATTTTAACAAAAAATCCTTCAATTTTACTCGCGAGACGTGCAGCACAATTTTTTGATCGTATAATATACAAAATAAAAAAATTTACCTGCACCACGAGACTGCCAACCAGATCCTCGGTGCGCTCGATTTTTTTCCCTTGAACGGCGAGCGACGAGATAGTCGAAGCGTAATCCCGATCGGATTTGATTTTTGACGTGAGACATCGTCGCATCGTCTCGAGGAGTTTGATCTCGGCGTCCTGACGAGCCAGCAACGCCTCGTGCGACGCCTGTCCTTGCAAACTCGTGGAAAAACCCATCTTTAGATAGATCGCAATCTCGCGTATTAACCCAGCAATATGCCGTTTTCAACGACAGTTCATATTCGCGTTCGGGCAAAATTATTCATCACACACATACACACGGAAGAAAGGAGCGAGCGTGTTAAGGGACACGCGGGATTGATCCGACTCCGCTGTGATTCGGGAGACGACGACGACGACGAAGACGACGAAGAGTAGTAGTCAGGTGACAGCGACGGCGACGACGCCGCGGACGACACAGAGACGGAGATGAGAATTTTACATGACCGAGAACCGCGCCGTCACTAATTTCATCGGCGCATCATTCGCGCGGCTCGGCTCGGCTCTCTTAGTCTTTCTGAGATCAACATTTATATTTGGATACGTTTTCAAAAAATTTGCTGAAGAAAACTTAAAATCTTTTTACCTAAAAATCGTATCAGTCAAACACACGTCGCACACACGGCGATGTTGACGTGTCGATCAACGAATCAACTCAAACTCGATGATCCCCCGAGCTCTCTGCTGCGGTGCCAATAATAACTCAGATAGGAAACGTAGAGATTTCGTCGCGGCCTCGCCACATCCTCTGACTTGAGAGGCATGTTTTTTAAAGGCTACCGCACATCCGTTGACAAGACGGATTTCGGCTTAAGTTCGATCGTAATCACCTGAGTCAAAAACGCGACGATTCGCATAAGTTAAGTTGTTCTCGCGTTTATTCGCGATTGGTTGTTCTAACGTTGAATTTTAAACGCACTGCGTTCCGGATTGTTTGGTTTACCCATCTAATGCAGTTACTTTGTCAAAGCAAATCGATAGTCGCGATTCGATATCGAATTCATCGATTTGCGAGATATCGAAATACGGAATTACAGAAAATAGCGAGAAATCGCGGCGAGAGAGCGGAATAAAATTTAATCTCTCTTCGAGAGCGAATAGGAATGAAAATGTATTTTAAAAAAAACTATTTAAGACTTTTATTAACTATTTAAACTGCGTGACAATTTATGCGACATATCGTAATTTTATATTACGTGACAATTTATGCAACACATATCGTAATTTTATCGGGAAACATCCCGAGTTTGTGCGTTTTATCGCGTCGCAAATAATCGATAAAAAAATAGATACTGTCGTTAGCGAAAATGATTATTCTATGTGGAAAAAAAGAGACAGGAAATTATACATAAATAATACATTTATTATACGCCTGTGTGAAAAACGAACATGTTATTTTCGACGACTGAGGTGTTTTTCCAACCGGCAAGTTTTTTTTGTTGTTTTGACGCTCGGGAAACTGCTCAACACCTGCTACGTCATTGTGGGCCCGCGACGCGAAAACATTCCAAAAGTGTGGAAGCTCTTTGTGAAGGATGCGTGTGCGCGGTGGGAAACTGCGCTACTCGCAGCGCAGCGCGTAGCGTCAGACATCGTCGATCTCTCAAAAGTGACGGACGTGTCGTCGGGTTGTGCGCGATTCGAAATTTTTTCTTTAGAATTATAACAAATTCGTACGCACTTTCGCACATAAGTGAATTTCTTCGTAAGTTAATTATATAATTTGATTGTTGTAAATATACCGGGTATATCGCGATTAAATATTTCGCGTATATAAATTATTAGTCTTCCGCTTCGTTATTTATTTATTTTGAAAAATAATTATTCTAATACATAAAGAGATATATTGATTCACCTCTAACGATATTCATTTTTT